GTATCTTCTGTACAATAAACATGTACTGTATCTGAAGCAGCAACAACCTCTATTGCAGATTTATTAACCTTCGAAACTGTCACCGGAACGTCCACTGAAGTAACAGTGATGGGAATTGAAGATTCCAATCTATTTGAAATTGGCGTTCTTTGACATCGTACCAAAATGTTCGATGATTCCGACTGTAATGATTTTTGACTTGTGGACGTTTTGAATGATTGTCTATATCTGTAATATTTAAAAATATTAATATTATAGAAAAATATATAAGTTCAAAATAAAAAAAATAATATAATAACTAATATTAGTATAATACAAAATATTAAAATACCTATTATTTTGTATTCCCATACTGATACATGCAGCCAATAAATCTTCGTCATCCTCGTCACCATCGCTCACTTGCTCCTGATCTTTTTCAACTTCTCCATTATTAATTTTTTCTTCCAAAGAATCTAATTTGCTATTTTTATCTAACTCATTCAACGATTCTTTTAGTTCATTCTGAGATTTAGAAATATTCGTTATTTTCATTTCATCGTCGATAGTTAAAGAACTGAGACTAGTAGCTGTAGAAAATTCAATAGGAGTTGATTCTTCTTTAAATGTGGCAATATCATCCTCGAAAACACTGGTTCTCGGTACGTGACATTTCGAAAATGCTGAAAATAATATCTATTAAAAAACTAGTAAAGAATTTAAGAATATATTTATCGAAATATTCTTTAAATTAAAATTCTTATAATTAATCTTTCACTAACGATCAATAGCATTGCATACATAAATGTCGAACCGACGGTCTTACTGCTTCTTCTGGTATTTTGGTTATAAAATCTGCACATTGATTTTTATGATTATGAGGACTTGGAGGAATAGTTTGTGTGGGTGAATCTGGTAATTCACTTGGAGATACAACACCACTAGTCCTTCGGCTATTAAACATGAATTCTAGTATAATTATTATTATAAATTTTTTAAGATAATTTATTCTATAATTTATTCTATTAAATTACCTGAAATCACTATGAATGGAACTACGATCATCATGTATAGAATGTTGTTCAAATCCACTTAATGAACCCAGAGAACTACAACGTGAAAACATTAAAGGAGTTTGTTCTGCATAATAATCTTGTCTGCTGAATGTAACCATTTTTCCTGAAATAATGAATATAATAAATATAATTAAAATTTTTTATATTTTAAAAATTTATAAAATATAAGCATAATAAACCTTCTTTATCTACAACTCTAGAATTATTTTTTCCTTCTACAGAGCTATCATTTTCATCAGGAATACGTAATATATTAATATTAGTACTAGTTGTAGTATGATCTGCTCTTTCTGAAATTTCTGGTACATTATCAGTTTTGTCAGAAGGATCTGTAGAAGGTACTTTAGAAATCCCAGTAACATTATTTCTTTGTGTTATTGCACTACTTAGTGAACTTAGAGAATTAGCACGAGATAAGCCATTAGATGTTCCTGTTTGATAATAATTAAGCAATTTTTCAGAAGAAAGACAGGTAGGTTTACATGGTTCAGAAATGGTTTTAGAAACTTCTAATTCCTTCTCAACAAGAAGTGAACGATCTTCATTACAATTGATTGTCAATGTATGTTCATAATTTGAATCTTCTTTGAGACTAAGTTCAAGAACTTTTTTATTAAGCTTCTTCTGTGAATCAACAGATTCTTTTGTATCTTCAAGACGCAAGTCAGACATAGAAGTTGCAGTTGAAAAATTAAAAGGTGTTTCATATGGAGTTCCTTCAGTACAATATGTTTTTACAGTATCTTCTTGTACACTTCCTGGAAAGTATTCAGCACTCTGTTTTTCGTCATCGTCAGTATCATCCTCGGCATATCGTAAACTATAATCTGTTGGCTGATCAAGATCAGTTTCAGCATAATCTCCAAATAAATCTACTTTGGAATCACGTTCTCCAAATTCTTTTTTACAAGATCGATCAGTTCGAGAACAGTGCTCAATTGAATGATTTTCAATTATTGTTTTTCTTTCGTTATACTTTTTGCTATAATCCACTGGTTGTTCAGTCATCTCGTCCTCATATTTTTGTTCATTTCTTTCCATACCGATTAATTTTTTATTTTTTCACAATTTTTCCTTATTTGTAAAAATATTTTTACAAAGAGTTTATAATTTTATCGATTAATTAAAGAAGGAAAAAAACAAACTTCGAATATGAAGAATAATTATTAAAATTTTTTTTAATAAATTAATGATTAATTATTCTCACCATTCCCAATAACTTTCGTGTCAACTTTAATCATTCCGCATAGTCGACCAAGGTAGACCACAAGGTTGACATTGTACAACATTAAATACCAATATATCGATTGCAGCGCAATCTAGGATTGTTAAGCAAATGAAATGAACATACACAAAAACATGTTCAAATAAATATGTATCAAATGATAAGAAATATTGTATTTTATTTCACAAAATTTTCATTTTATTCAAATATTTTTAATTAATACGAATATAATATTAAATAAGTTAGAATTGTATAAAGTTTTTTTAATTTTCATATTTATTTTAGGAAAATTTTATAAAAATATAATGAGAATATTTTTTCGAAGATTTTATAGAAAAATATTTTAAAATATTTTTGCAATCAAAAGGAATTTATTGAAACATCTTTTATAAACGATATAAAAAGATTAGTTACAGATTCAATTCAATAATTTTTTTCTTATTATAAGTTTTCCTATTATAATACAATTTAACCTCGTCCTCTTCCTGCTTGAGATCCTCCAGGTTGATTTTGTTGATTAAGCCAAGGTGCAGAACCTGTTCCTCTACCTCTTTGATTTTGACCTCTACCTCTTCCACGAGCTAAAACAAATTAATAAATAAATAAGCAAACAAATTGATTGAATATTTCATAAAACGTTATAAATCAATGAAACAAAAAGTATATTTTATTTAAATATTTGCATATTTTGGAAACAAAATATCTTATAAAAAAACCTTGGGCACGTAAGATAGCAGATTTTCCTCTGCCTGCGGTTCCTGAACCTTTTCCTCCTGGTCGTTTAAACATTGGCGCGTTCTTCAACATATCTGGTAATATGAGAAATCTAATCTTCGAACCTCTAATATAAACGTTTTCTAATTGCACCTCATGACCATCCCTATAAGTTACAGTAATATTTTGCATTTGACAATTCATATTGTCTTCGGCTTCTATCAATTTGCCGCGATATACTTCGCCAGTATTTGTTTCACAGGTTATGGTATGACCTTCCGCTTCATGGAGTACTTTTATCGGTACTCCGATCGACATTTTGGCTTTTTCTTATACTAATTCGAATAACACACTGAAATTTTTTTTTAATTAATTCAAAATTAAAGACTCTTTCGATTAGAAATATTGAAAAACACATACAAATTATAGACGCACACGATAACCTCTTCTCTATTTTACCTAACGTTTATACTATGCTTACAGTTCGATACTCACAATAAAGACAAACTTAAGCGCATGCGCATTGAATTAATTTATAAACGAGGCGCGAACGAAGTACAATTATTATTTTAATTTTTATTAATTATGCATTATTTATTAAAAATAAAAATTAAAAGCATTTTTTTAAATTAATTAATTTTTCAAAAATATTTAAATTAATGTGTTATTTTTTTTTTTTACAAAAAAAAGACTAAAATAAGAAAATAGAACAGTTCTATTTTCTATTTTTAAATAATCATATATTTATTGGTCATTAATTTTTGAGTGCTATCACGATATGATAACACAATATGAAATAATCATTAAACTAGTGATCATAATCTTATTTCATGCCAATATTTTTACATATAATTTGAATAAGCAAAAACTTAGTTCGTGCCTTCTATATGTCTTATTGTCCTAAGATTGCATTGCAACTTTTATTTAGTTGCTAAGAATTAACATTAGGAAAATTATTATTAATTTCTTCAATCAATAAATTATATCGATTGATTGAATCAATAAAAATGGCAGACATACTTGAAAGTGCACATTATGTACAATTTTGCAAAGCTTGATTAAGCGCCAAATAACTTCATCTGCCGAATCTTTTTCAGGGCGGTAAATTTATATATATATATAAATATATATATATATATATTTTGTTAAATATACATAAATATAATTAACTATAATTATAAATATTCAAGAATGATCGTGAGAGAGATCGATATATACGATCAAAGAGAGATTTATAACAAGGAGGTACGTGGAAACGAAAGTAGAAATCTTATGGATCATAGGCGTAGAAACAAATAACACATTGAGATAATTTTCTCATCTACGAAAGAACCTAAGATATACTACATCTAATATATTCTTGTCAAAAGGATGATAAAATCGTAACGATACATGTATGAATAAAGTCGACGTTATTTCTTTCCTTTTAATCGCTTAAATATACTAATATCAATCGTGTAATAATTACAAGCATTGTTACGTCCTTAATGTAATCAGCAAAGTACGAACACTGTTTTATCTGTCCCTTTCCCGATTCGTTTTATTTTCTCATTTTGAAATTATTTTTCTTACTTTCATTCATTCGATCGTTCATACTCTCGTTTGTTCTTCATTTTTTCTTTCTCTGTGTATCTACGAATATATCATCGTCATTCACTCATCATAGGCAAAATTCTACTTCCAATAATATCATGATACAATCTTAGAAAAATATGCTATGCCTAAAATAGGATGAAGGCCTGAAGGCAACCATTCCGTCGATATTATTGATAATCGGTGTGCGTACCTCCTCTTTATACGTGATTTCAATTTAGCTGACACTTTTCCCTCTAAGATGTGCGCCAAAACGAATATATCATTGTAACCAATCTCAAGAAAGCAATTGCAAGCTTATTTTTTTCTTCTCAACAATTATTAGGATTTTTCTACCACGAGAAATGTTAAATAATAATCGTATGATTTCAATATGTTTATATAAATAACATTTTTAGTTTCTTTCGTTGGACATACGTTAAAACTCATTTTGAGTGATATGATTTAATTATAATAATGATTTATTAATATTGCCAATTGACAAATTGATTAAAAAAAATAATAAATTATAAATTCTAGCATTATTTGTAAAAAAAAATAAAAAATATGTAATTTCAACAAAGTATAATTTTTTTCAATTATAATAGTTATATCGAAACAATACGATTTTTATTTTTAACATTTTTTTCATATGATGATTACAAAAATTGAAAAATTGTGATCACTAAAAAAGTCTCATTCTGTACACATAATAATATATTGTCCAATATAGACATTATGTATTGTTTATATGTATGTGTATCTGTGTATGGAATCACGGTAATTGTAGAATATATGTAAAATTCTATTACGAGCAAGATCCTTCTTATTTTTCAAAAGTATACAATTATCTACTATTATAAAATAAGAACCATCCATAACGTGGCACTGAAATTAAGAACGATTCACTTTATTCTATTAACGTAATTAATACAAGGATTTCTTCTTTCTTTGTATTTCATAAGACGATTTTTCGTTTCGATAGTTTTTCTTTATCGCTATATCGGCTATCACGCAAAACTTCAAAGGACGAAGGATCGATAATCGATTAGAAAGAAAACAAAGAAAAACAATGAAACAATTATTTTTAAAGACAGCAAAAACATGGTGGTACGATACACAGTGTGGTGTTTTCTGTCTCTCTTTCTTTTCATGTTCTCATTCATTCATTCATTCATTCATTCATTCATTCGTTCGTTCTCTCTCTCTCTCTCTCTCTCTCTCTCTCTCTCTCTCTCTCTCTCTCTCTCTCTCTCTCTCGCTCGCTCGCTCGCTCGCTCGCTCGCTCTCTTCTCGCTTGTCTTTAAAATCACAAAAGACCCAATGTGACGACTATCGATTTTTCACAAAAAAGACAACGATACGCGGGAAAAGCAATTCTGAAAATTCAC